AAACACTATTATGACAAGGTATGTTTAATTTATTATATATATATATATATATATTTATTACATTTTATATTATCATCTCACACATGGATCGGCATTTTCTATAATGTATTCCTTTAATAAAAATACATATCTGATATGACTTAATATATAATTAGCATCAAACAAACAATACAATTCTTTTTCTCAAGGATTAAAGATTAAACGGAAAAAAAAGAAGAAAAATGATTGCACAACCATCAGTTAGGTGGCGATATGCAGAGGTGGGACTTTCAAGTCACAAGCAAGTCTACAAGTCATGTCCCAAGTCCTCAAAGAGTTAAAGTTAATGAGATAATTAAGAGACTAATTAAATGATGATTGTGCATTAGTAATGAACAGCTGCTACTGTTCATCCTTCTGTGTCACATGACTCTGATGGTGCAGTTCTGCAGTTTATCTGAAGCCTCTGACTGTATTCAGGATCCTCAGACAGATCTGGAAACTCAATTTTAGCATTTTTTACATTTGTTTTGGTCCAGAACACTTTCATGATCTGATGTCCAGTAGGGTATGTAAAAATGCAGCTCATTATCGCTGATGAGTCAATTAGTGCATAGTTGTGTGACTCACACCCCAATCAGAATCCCCAGAAACTCAGAAATAATAACAATGAATGTTTTTTCTTTAGGAGCTACTGAGCTATGAACTTTTGCAGCTTTTAGTTCATGCAGAGCCGATCCTCCCTATACGCAAAGTATGCAATGCCCCCTTCCTCTCAAAAATAATTTAATTTTAGTTTTGTTTTTGATTTTGGCCAGCGGTTATGGAAACATGAATGTGCCTTTCCTTTAATGCGGTGCACTGTCGCCCTTTCTACATAACATCCAAATCAGTAAAATCATGTAATGTGACTGTCATACAGTCTCCTGCCGTTCTTGCTCGATACAAAAAAAAAGTTAAAAGCACATTGAGCTGCGGAAGAGACACTGTTCCACAAGCGCTTTCCATGTGTGCGATTTAAAGGGAACATCGGATGCCCATTTTCCACACGTTGGTATGATTCTTTAGGGTCTTCATGAAATGTCTGCAACATATTTGGGTTAAAATTCCTCAGTGTTCGTGTAAAACAACACCCTTTTTGCCTTGTCAAAAATAGCTAGAAGTTTAAATTTACAGTAAAGAAAATGCACTGTACTATTTTTTTATTTTATATAAAATAAATATTTTACAAAATAGGTTTTTATCCAAAATTGCTACAAAATTAAAGCCATATGTCTAAATAAGTTATGTTCCAAATTTGAAGTTGATATAAGAAAAAATCCTGTGAGATTTTATTTAGGGCATTATACCACAAACAGCCACTGGGTGCCATCCAAACAAATTTTTTTATGCATTTTTCTGTCACAAATGTCTAAATTTCTCTGTCAATATTACTCCTATCACAAAATACCAAATATGGAATCTTGAGACTCAGACCTTTCCAACGATATGTATTTTGTGCCACGCCGGATCTGTTTCCTACGTTGTTGTGATTTGATCTGAACGGAAACAGCGTATCCGCGTGGCGCAGCTGACACAGAACAGCATACGCTGTTTACATCCAGTTACATCCAAACTGTTTCTTTTTATACTGTCAGTATCGGCAGATCTGGATCACATTTTCATATTCTGTTTCAGATATCATGCAGACAGAAAAGAGAAAAGGGAAATGTTACTGTCCATTAAAACGGAGTGCTCTGCAATCCCAGTAATAAAATAACCGTTCTGTATCTCAAGAGTGACAAAATAACCTGTTTGTTTTACATCTTTTTGATTGTGGTGTTGTGCAGCATTATTTAGTTACCGGAAGTGTCGATCCACACTGTAAGGGAGCTGGAATGAAATTAAAAGTTAAAAAACACAAAATGAACAATGATGTCACATTTCCAACTTTTTTTTATATAATGTATTTTATTATTTATATCCAATATCCTTTCCCTTTGAGCTGTGTCAGCATTGGAACAGAAAACACATCAACAATGACCACTGACATAAACTTCTAATTTTAATGTTTTAATTTAACATATAGCAATTAATGGTAAACTGTAAAAGAGTTATACATGCTGAACATGCATAACAATGAAGTTGCGATTGTAAGTTGCAGTCTGTAAGACGCGCGACATTGCAGAAAATGTAGCCTATGTTGATCCAAATATGGAAAGCACTTTCGAGTTTAATAATCTGAGGTTCTCTCCAGAGATGTTTTGCCACATTTCTGCAATTAAGGATGATTGCTGCGTAGTGGGTGTTTCCTTTTGCCTGAACATCTTCAAGTGAGTGGCGCGGCAAACCGAAATTTGATACCGAAAGTCCAGCACTCTCCTTCACTGCTGATGCTGCGACTATTCTTATGTGTTCCTTCGCTGGCATTTTCCACATTTTATTTTTCCCCCTTAATAACAAATTTGTCCATTCTGATGCTTAAAGGGGTCATATGACGTTGCTAAAAAGAACATTATTTTGTGTATTTGGTGTAATGCAATGTCTTTATGCGGTTTAAGGTAAAAAAACAACAACATTATTTTCCACATACATTTGTTGCATCCAGTGGTGACATAATTACTGATTATAATGACTTATACAGTCTTTTTACACGTTCAACAATACTACAGCGAGAATAAAAGTTACGCCTTCTTTCTTTGCGTGAACATTTGGGCGGCGTTATGCAAATCTTCCCACACAGTGACGTAGACATGTGGGGGCGTGTTAAACCGAGGCGTTTTAGGAGGGCGTGAACAAGTCTTAACTTTTATAAAGAATATATCTTTGGGTTTGAGACTTTTGTCTTTGCAACTTTAGGGATCTTATCTATGCATGAACAGATTGTAACACTCCAAAGAGAAAGGAAAAATTGAAATTGCATCATATGACCCCTTTAATATTACCGAACTAATGGCTGCTGATAACTATTTTAATTAAATTCTGTCAAAGTGCGCACTTGTAAGTGTTCGTTAAATGCATAAGGTTAATTAGGTGAATGTAAACAAATGTAAAAGAAAAAAAACAGAGAGAGAAAAACACAGAGTCTGTTTTAAAATATTGGTAACATGATGATCTGTGATCTCTGTTATAAGTGAGTTAGTTGAGTCTCATGCGGTGACTGACTACGGTGTAATCAGAGTGAATCTCATTCTTACTGAATCTGACTGTAGCGTCACTGAGAGACTCTTCATGCTTCTGGAAACTGACAGCAGCGTACAGGAGCCCATCAGAGGGGATTGTGTACAGTAAAATCCTGAGTGTTAAATTAACACTGCTCGGAGCATATATGGTCCCACTCTACAAGAGTGTTAAAGTAACACTGAAGCAGTGTTAAAGTTAATGAGATAATTATGTGATTAATTAAGTGCTGATTGATCATTAGTGATGAACAGCTGCTGTTAACAAGCAGAATCACTGAAGAAAAGAGAAACACAAGAACTACAACTGACTTCAGCCACAGCCTTAGATGAAATCAACTGAAATAAAAGACATTACGTTTCTCAAGATCTCAGCAGAAGATGATTAATCATCTCCACAAACAGCATCACCAGCTTCACACATTACTAACCAGATTGGCTTTTTTTGTCATGCGTCTAAAAATGTCTTATTAATAATTAACAGAGGTTTAGATGTTAATGTTGAAATGCATTGAAGTCACCGTTGTGGAAATAAGTGTTTGCTTTAGTTGGTTGATATTTGACTTTTTAACATTAGTTTTTCTCTGGTTGTTGTAACTGTGTTTATGAAAAACATTTGTTATGGCAAGAAAAACCAAGAGGAAATGTGATTCGATTATATCAGTCATTTTTTTTTTATAATGACGTAGTTGTCATGTAATTCACTGATGTCATCAGTGGTGATGTGTAATTTAGTTTATGTTATTTATCACAACTGAATTTGAATGAAATAATATGAAAATCTTTAAAAACACTTTGCACACCAGTTTAGAACATCTGTGCTGTTTAGACATGCAGACATCAAGAATCTGCATATGAATCTCAACAATGGTGATGATCATCAGACAGATTCATTTGCTGAGATTCACATGCTGATTCTTCATGTCTATGAGTGCCAGACTTGAAGCCTCTTTATGAACTATATTTATAAAAGTGGTTTATAAAGTTCTCTCACATTGTTATCTCACATAGAACTGCAATCATATAGAAATCATAAAAGCACTACAGATTTAGATGAAATGCAATCAAGAGATTCAGACGCATGACATGATTTTTATCATAAGTACTTTGCCATCACATATGTGCTTTATAAACACAATTGTAACAGCCAAAGAGGATCTTATATTTAAAAAGTCAAGGGGTCAAAAGGCAACTCTATATCTCTATAAAAGCAAACACTATTCACAAAAATGGTAAGTTGAAAAAAAAAAAAAAAACATCTAAACCTTAATTCTCAATAAAGAACTTCTGTTTTAGATACTCCAGAAATAAAGTCAATCTGGTTATTAATGCATGAATCTGGTGATGCTGTTTGTGGGGATGTTTAATCAGATCTTGAGAGATTTAATGTCTTCTTTTATTTCAGTTGATTTCATCTAAGGCTGTGGCTGAAGTCAGTTGTAGTTCTTGTATTTCTCTTTTCTTCAGTGATTCTGTTTGTTAACAGCAGCTGTTCATCACTAATGCTCAATCAGCACTTAATTAATCACAGAATTATCTCATTAACATTAAAACTGATTCAGTGGGACCATATATGCTCTGAGCAGTGTTAATTTAACACTCAGGATTTTACTGTGTGGGTAAATCAGAATTGCTGTTAATTTGGGCTGATCCAGGATCTGAGAGAGAATCACATAAATCAGATGAACATCAAGTGTCAAACTGGAGAAACAAAGCAGCATCAGAAACTCACTGAGTAAGATTTACTGCTGTTGACAGCAAGATACTCAGAGACACTCAAATAATTTTAAATATGGCAATTCTGTGAAGGACACAAAGAGGATCAGACTAAATAAAGTGTGTGTGTGTGTGTGTGTGTGTCGCCTCGTCTCTTGTGTCTTAATTTGCACAGAGTCAGAGTGAATCCACCGATCAGCAGCAGAATCACACACACGCTGATAATGATGATCATGGAGAAATCTGAGAATAAAACACACAGACACAGAGTGATAATGAAAGAGAAACACAGAGATACACAATGAAATAACTATCTACACAAATATTCAAAGTGATGATGTTCAATTTCAATTTACACTGTTAACATGAATCTGTGATATGAGTAATGTCTAATCTGTAGCATGAAACAAATTTAATATATATTAAATATTTATAAAATGCTGTTGGTAACATTTGATGATCTGGTTCTAACATCACTAAGATAGTTTTCATGCAGAGTTTTATACATTTTATTATTATATATTTCATCATTCGCTCAACATTCAATACATTTCAAGCTATAAACAGACACATGTAGAAATTTAGGTTTTAAAAATAAAGTTTCACAAGAAACAAATTGTGATTGTTGCCTGTAGATAATGACTTTAAACAATCTGATTGTTGAGGGTTGATATTTGAATGTTTAAGAATAAATAAAGTCATCTTACACCTTTTGACATTTAAATGCACTTTAGTGGTGACGTGAGCTCCACACCAGTATATCCCAGAATCCTCTTCTCTCAGATCAGTGATGTTCACAGTAAAGACTCCAGCAGATGCTTCATCACTGAAAGAGAATCGATCATCTCTGATCGTCTCCAGTGAAACTCCATCCTTCACACACATGGAGGCTTCATGTGCTTTGCAGAAGCTTTTTTGATCTGCATCCTGATGTTTGCACTGGATTGACACGTCGTCTCCTTCATACTTAGTCAAGTTCAGCTCTGGAAATGATTACAGACACAAGAAGATCAATTCACAGCCGGAGTTTGACATATTCAGATGAATAAACCTTCCTCACCCTCGTTCATGATGACGATCAGATGAGTGTGAAGATAACTGAGCTCTGTTTCTAACGTCACTGCACACCAGTATTTCCCAGCATCCTCTGCTGTCAGTGCAGTGATGCACCTGTTGCACGCTAGGAGTGTTGCAATTTACATTTTTGAAGCAAATGTGGATTTTAGTTTTATAAGGGGAGTATCTCAAAATTACATCTTAGTTTTATTTTGTTATATTATGTTGACAGACTTTGCTGCCAAGAGGTCAGAGGTGAGCAGAAGAGTGATGTCATCAGTGAACGCCCTAGAGCAAGAGAGAAGAAGAGAGTGAACGTGAACGTGAACTGTTGATTGTGTTTGTGTGTGTGTAGTGAAATCCTCGCATGTAAATAGTGACTCCAACTTCGAACTGGGAACAATAAAGTTGTGAAAAAACGAAGACGCAGTCTTGTCTGTCCAGGAGTGCACCATAAAATAACTAAATGAACTAAAAGAGAAAAATGATGATGGTGAAGCCCCACTTCAACAAAAAGGGCAACAGTGCCACCCCGTGGAAGAAATCAGTATGAAACCCAGTAACTTAAAGGGGTCATATGATGCTATTTTAAAGATCATTATTTTGTGTATTTGGTATAACATAATATGTTGGCATGCTTTAATGTTCAAAAAACACATTATTTTTCAAATACTGTACATTATTGTAGGTCCTCTATGCCCCGCCTCTCTCAAACATGTCGTTTTCAACAAAGCCCCCTCCTTTGACAAGCGCAGTCTGCTCTGATTGGCCAGCTGACCCAGTGCATTGTGATTGGCCGAACACCACAAGCACGCGTCGGAAATGTAACCAAATCATTCTAATATGCTGATTTATTATTAGAATTATCAACAGTTGTGCAGCCAAATATTTTTAAGTTACGCCTTCTTTCTTTGCGTGAACGTTTGGGCGGCGTTATGCAAATCTTCTCACATCGTGACGTAGACATGTGGGGTGTGTTAGAACGAGCCGTTTTAGGTAGGCGTGGTTGACTCTTAAATTTTATAAAGAATATCTCTTTGGATTTGAGACTTTAGTCTTTGCAACTTTACAGATCTTCTTTATGCACCAAGAGCTTGTAACACTCCAAAGAGAAAGGAAAAATTGAAATCGCATCATATGACCCCTTTAAATGATCAAAGAGAGAATGTTTCTGCTGCCAACGCTATGGAAGCCGCATCTGTTGCGAATCAGAGTGTAGCCTTTGTTCATCCACTGTACAGAAGAGACCTTAAAATAATAGGACAAATTGGAGAACCAAATCAAAAGTATACATTGGTGTACACTAGTTTGGAAAGACAAATTCAAAGGGCGTTGAAAAAAGGATATGATGAAGGAGAAGTAGTTGAAGCTGTTATTCAAGCCATAGCTCCAGGAACAAAGCTGAAGAGTTACCTTGAAAGCAGGGTTGATTTAACATTACAAGGCCTCAGACAGATACTACAGACTCATTATATTGACAAGGATGCTACTGAGTTGTACCACTCCCTCACGCACTGTTCAAGAGCCAAAGGAAACCCCCATACAGTTTGTGGTGCGAGCTATGGACCTGAGACAACAAATTGTCCTCGCTTCAGAAAGAGTTAAATCTGGATTGAAGTACAGTGCAGAACTAATTCAAAATGAGTTCCTCCAAACAGTACTCACTGGTCTCCATGACGACACCACCCGTGCGGATGTGAAGCCATACTTACAAGATCCGGAAGTCAAGGATGAGGTTCTTCTGGAGAAAGTGACGATGGCATACAATCTGGAGACAGAAAGAAAGAATAAGTTGTCATCTACATCAAAAGCAAGAATGATCAGAGTTGCCATGATTAGTGAGGAAAATGAAGATGTGGATAAAGAGCTCCAAGCACACAAACCAGACAGTAAGAACAAACGTGACACACTGATGGAAAAGGTTGATCAGGGCAATAAAGCTATATGCGAGGCCATTCAGAATCTCACCATTCATTCCTCAACCAATGAGAATGAGTGAACAGCCAGGCAGGAAATACAGACCACAGCCAAAGACCCCAAACAGTAAACTGTGTCAGATGTGTCAGTTGTCTAAGGCTGAGGGAAGGTGTGATCACTGTTATAAGTGTGGCAGCACCGAACATTGGGCTTAGGGTTGTCGGAAGAAAAATGCCTCCGTCAGCACAAACAAAATTGATCATACAGAAGACATGGAAAAAGCTGATATGTTCAGCGTAAATACTCCACTCACTGGCAAGCAGCGACAGACAGCCAAGTTGGTAGGGAGAATGTGTCTAGTTCGAGCCTCTTTGGGAGGAATTGACACTACAATACTGTGGGACATGGGTTCACAGGTATCAATAGTGGAAACAAACTGGAAAAAGGAGTACCTGCCAGACATTGAGGTGCGATCAGTGAAGGAGTTGCTTGAAGAAGGAGCGTTGGAACTCTCAGCTGCAAATGGAACAGATATTCCATATGAAGGGTGGATGGAGATTGTGCAAGGATGCGGTAGCTGGGATGAGTGACAAACCTATGCTGGTTCCGAACCTGGTTGCCAGCAGTGACATTGATCGGCCTATAATCGGGTTCAATGTGGTTGAAGAATTAGCGCTGACAAATGATCCATCTGGAGACTGCACACGCTCGGGTTACATGGTAAAGAGGCTGTGCTCAGCAATTGCAAGATTGCTGAGGACGCAAAATTGCAAGGGCTGTTCTATCTGTTTTAAAGAAACAGAAGCCTGAAGCTCAACCCCACACAGTTAGGGTAGGCAGGCGGCCAGTGACCATACCCAAGAACATAGTGATGGCAGTGCATTGCAGTTGGCTGAATAAGAGGGTGCTAAGTGCGTCACCGGTAGTGTTGGAACCGAACTGTGAAGCACCCTGGCCAACAGGCCTAGTGGTCAGAGAACAGTTAATCTATCTACCTGCAGATGATGAGGGTAAAATAGAGGTCTCTGTGGAAAACGTAACAGATAATGATATCCCACTGGGCAGTCGCACTACACTTGGCTGGTTGCACAATGTGGATGATGTCTACCCACTGCAGACAAAGCCTACTGAGGATCAGAGCTCAAGGATGTCAGACAACAGTGTCACCTCACCCGTGCAGCAGCCCTGTCATGGGCCACAAGCTGAGCCCTGGGATCGATCCACCTGTGGATCTGAGACATTTGCCAGATGACCAGCGAGAAAAGGTACAGCAGATGCTCAGAGGGGAATGTGATGTCTTTGCAAAGGATGATTGGGATGCAGGATGCATTAGAGATTTGGAGATGGACATACAGTTAAAAGACAATGTACCTGTACAGAAAACATACAATGCAATTTCTAGGCATCTCTACCAAGAAGTGAAGACACACATTCAGGATCTACTCAACCGTGGTTGGATCCAGAAGTCCTGTTCTTCATATTCCTCACCTGTTGTATGCGTCAGGAAGAGAGATGGGAGTCTTCGTCTATGTATAGACTACAGCTTGTTAAACAGGAAGACGCTGCATGACCGTCATCCAATTCCGAGGATACAGGAGATCCTGGAAAACTTGGGAGGTAACTCCTAGTTCACGGTGTTGGATCAGGGGAAGGCTTAACACCAGGGCTTCATGAGAGAGAAAAGCAGACCCTGCACCGCATTCATCATTCGGGTTTGTACGAATGGGTGAGGATCCCGTTTGGGCTGAATAATGCCCCAGCGTTATCTTTCTTTTCAACCCTACATGGAGGGATGTCTGGGAGACCTCCGAGATCTGAGAAATCTGTTTCCCGTATTTGGATGATTTGTATATCTTGGTGTTTAGCCCCAGCTTTGAACAGTATGTCCAGAATGTGAGGCAACGGCAACGAGAGTGTGGAATAAAACTAAGGCCAAAGAAATGTGATTTCTTCAAAGGTGAAGTCTGCTATGTCGGTCGGGTAGTCTCCGCTGAGGGATACAAAATGAATCCCAAAGAGGTGGAAGCAGTCCAAGAACTGATCCAGAATGTGAGGCAAGTTCTGCAACGGCAACGAGAGTGTGGAATAAAACTAAGGCCAAAGAAATGTGATTTCTTCAAAGGTGAAGTCTGCTATGTCGGTCGGGTAGTCTCCGCTGAGGGATACAAAATGAATCCCAAAGAGGTGGTAGCAGTCCAAGAACTGAAGCATGAGTCTCTAACCACTGTGCGAGGGGTGAAAAAGCTGATGGGTTTCCTCAGTTATTACAGAACTTATATACCAGACTTCTCTAGGGTGGCTATACCCCTTTATGAACTCTCAGCCAAGCCCAAGTCTGAACTGAAGCAAAGCCAAAAGAAAAAGGGGACTGGCCGAAAGTCTGTTCAGCTGCCATCGTCCCACCCAATTCAGTGGACAGTGATCCATCAGGAGATAGTGAACAGAATCGTAGATCAGCTGACAAATCCACCGGTGATGGCATACCCAGACCTGGAGGAACCGTTCATCCTTCATGTAGATGCATCAGAAGAGGGCCTTGGCACAGTTCTGTACCAGCATCAGAAAGGTGTCCTAAGAGAGATAGCTTATGGATCGTGGACATTGACAGCAGCAGAACGCAACTATAAGCTACACTCAGGAAAATTAGAATTCCTGGAGCTAAAATGGGCCGTAATGGAATGCTTTCGTGATTATCTGTTCCATGCGCCTCACTTTACGGTATATAGTGATAATAATCCTCTGACATATGTCACCAAGTCGACGAAGCTTAAGGCAACCTGACACCACTGGGTGTCAGAGTTGGCGGATTATAGATTCACACTAAAATACAGACCGGGAACAGCAAACCGAGATGCGGATTTCTTATCACGAAGGTCGAAGCCCATTGACGAGATCATGCGAGAATGCACAGAGGAATGCCAACAGGAGGCTATTGAAAGCTGAAGAGCAGCACATGTTAATGATGTTTATCACGCTGACCACATTAATAAAGAACCCTGCAAACACAAAG